TATATTTAAAAAATATTTTCTATAATTATGGAAATTCAACAATGTTGGTCGATGCAATAAAACTTTTAGAGTTTATGCTGGACTTTTGTTTTCGTTCTTTAAAATTTAATTTTCTTTTCAATATAACGTTCGACCAACTGATATGGGAAGGATATATATATATATATATATATATATATATATATATATATATATATATATATATATATATATATTAGGGTGGGCCGAAACTGGACTTCAGAAAAAAAACGAATCAAACAGGAACGCAATACCCGTAAAAAGATGCGTATATGTGTAAAAAATACTTGTGATTTTTTGTTTTATTTTGAAAAAATGTCTTCAGCCCTCTACCAGCCCTTAAGTGACCTTGAAAAATAAATAAATAAATTAGGAACACAATACCGCTCAAAGTTTGTCTTTTACCGTGTATAAATCTTTTGTTTTTTTCTTATTATTTTAAAATGATTTTATCAGCCCTCTACCACCCTCTAACTAAAATAAAATCTCAATTTTCCAACTTTTTCCAAACACAAAATGTAAAATTAACTCCGTATAACTTTAAAGCATAAAAAGTATAATAATATAATATAAAAGTATTTAATACTGATGGTCTTGGTCGTGAAGCCTCGGATACAATCGAACAGTCCCGGCTGAGATGGATCGTCGAGAGTTATGGTACTTGTCGTCGCTTATCTTCTTAGTGCGAAATAAGCTTTCGGGTGAAACGCATGTTTATTGTTTATTTGTTGAAAGCCAAGACGAATAGATTGTGTTTGTTGTATTTGCGTGAATACCTAGCACGACCATAAATATGGCTGCTTTAAAATTAAATATTACAAGAAGTAAAGTAGAATGTCCAATTTTCGGTAACCCAGTCGACTTAAACTGTCATGTTTTACCAACGATAGAACATGTGCTTCGATGTTATTTGTTTATTCGTTATGAACTGAAGTTTACTAAATATTTTGGAAAGGAACCAAGTTTTAATGAAGTTTGTGAAGTGCTTGTGCCAAAAATCAAAAGTATATGGGAATCAGCGTCAATTCCAACCGTGTCAAAGGACCGCATCATGCAATTATTACGTAAATATCATAATAAATATTTAAACCTTATCAGATATCCAAAAAGCAAAAGAAATGTTCAATATGAGTTAAAGATTACCAGCTTCAAAGAGGAAACAAGGGATAAGTTGTTCGACATTGCTGCCTGTAAGTGTGATTTTTCTGCATGCAAGTATTGCAAGTGTGATAAATCAAGAAAAGTACCAAAGCAGGAACAGGAATTTCTTTTGGATCAACGGTCCACTAGAGATATGGCTATAGGAACTGTTGATCGTGAAACAACTAAAAAGTTGAATGTAAGGACGGAGAGACAAACAAAAGAAACAGAACGAGTACAAAAATTCAAATCTGAATTTCACAATATTTCTATGCCCAGCTGTTCTACTGAGGTCACTAGGTTATCAACAGACTCTGACAATTCTTCTTCATCTGAAGCCTCACCTAGTGTTGCAAATATTGATTTACCGTCGAAACCATCCTGTAGTCAAATGAGGATAGAGTTGCCCACATTAGGTACCATATGTGACAAATATGGAATTTCTGACAGGTCAGCAGCTGCTGTTGCCACAGCTGTATTAAAAGATGTGGGAATTATTTGCGATAGTGATACCTCAAAAGTAATCGATAAAAATAAAGTTAGAAGAGCTCGTCAAAAGAACAGAAATATCCTTAGTAATGAGTTTCAGTCTACAAATAAACCCATTAAGAGTATTTACTTTGATGGCAGGAAGGACAAAACCTTAGTGCAGGAAAAGAAAGGTGAGAGATATCATAAAAGAACTATTGCAGAAGAACATGTGTCATTGATAGAAGAACCGAATTCTGTTTATTTGGGGCACGTTACCCCATCTGCAGGCTCAGCCAAGTCAATTGGAAAGGCAATAATAGACTTTCTCATTTCAAATAACTTCTGTTTGGATAATTTAGTGGCGATTGGTTGTGACGGAACCATAGTGAATACTGGACATAAAAATGGAGTTATAACATATATCGAAAATGAACTTAAGCGACCTTTGCAATGGTTTGTGTGTGCCTTACATGCTAATGAGTTGCCATTGAGACATTTATTTCAACGTTTGGATGGAGCTACTACTGGACCTCGTCAATTCTCTGGAGTGATCGGGAAATTATTGGAAAAATGCGAACACCTTCCAATCGTAGATTTTGAAATAATTGAAAGTGATCTCCCAGAACTAACAATACCATCTAAAGAATTAAGCTCAGACCAGTCATATCTGTACGACATATGCCAAGCAATATCAAATGGCAACGTCTATGAAAATTTAGCAAATCGTAGCCCTGGAAAGTTAGCTCATTCCAGATGGCTGACAATGGCAAATAGAGTTCTCCGCCTCTACGTTGGAACCGAACATCCTACATCAAGATTGAAAGATCTTGTTCAATTTATAATTAAAGTCTATGCACCAATGTGGTTTTTTATAAAGCTTAATCCAAGTTGCACACAAGCCAGTTTGCATGTTTTCAAATCCATTACACTATCAAGATATTTAAGAGATGATCTTAAAAATATTATAGATGCAGTTATCCAACGAAACTCCTATTATATTCATCCGGAGAATCTTCTCTTATGTATGTTAACAGATAATCGTCAATGGGTACGAGAATTAGCTTTACGGAGAATTATTAAAGCCAGAAAAGAGAAAAAAGTCGGAATAAGGCAGTTTAAAATACCAGAAATAAACTTTAATGCTGCGGAGTATTTTGAGTTAATAAACTGGAGTGAATGTGAAGTAACGGCCCCACCAATGTTAGCTGACATACCAGATGATGAGCTGAAACAGTTAATTGATAGCTCTATAATTGCAGACTTTGACTTTCCAAAATATCCATGCCACACGCAAGCTGTGGAGAGATGTGTGAAATTGGTTTCGGAATCATCTTTGCTAGTTACAGGGCCAGAACGCAGAGACGGATTTATTCGATCTAAAATAAAATCAAAAGACTTTCTTGTAAATTACGATAACAAAGCACAATTTAAAATTGAATGAACGCATTTTTCTATTGATTTTTATTTCGCATTTTAGTGTGTTTAAAAATAGGATATTTATATTTTTGTTTGTTTTCGGTTTCCAATAAACTTTTAGTTCAGTTCAAATTTTGTTTTATTTCCCAACACCCTATAAAATGTGCAGTAGTTTCCCATATTTACACACAATTTTTCAGAAATAATTGTGAATTTATTATTTTTATTTTTGATTCAAGATCATTATCTGTTGGTAGAGGGTAGAATATCTTATTCTAAATGTATAAAAAAAATAACATGAACTCTTTGCATATAATTGAAACTTTTTACAGGTATTGCTAATTAAATTAAATAATTTTGATTTAGGGTTCACTTTAGGGGTGGTAGAGGGCTGAAGATGTTTTTTTAAAAATCCTAAAAAAAATACAGTGATTATACTTACCAAAAGGCATCTTTTTGGGGGTATTGTGTATTAAAACTAAACAAATAATTTTTTCGGCCCACCCTAATATATATATATATATATATATATATATATATATATATATATATATATATATATAATATATATATTTCTTCTGGTACATACTCATAAGATTTGAAATTTTCTCGTAATCATCACCATCATCAACAGCTATTTCATCCATAGTCGGGTACGTCTACCTTTAGTATGTCTATTCGCTTCTATTGACCGTTTTTTGATTTTATTGGCATTGAATATCATTGGTGCATCTGGTTTGAGATATTTATCTGGTTCTCTTGTGTGCTCTTAGGCGCCATTTAATAATTCGCTTGTAGCATGTCTTCGTATATGTCAAATTTTAACATGATAATTTTTTTTAATTACATCTGTTATCATTGATCTAAATATCAACCTCGCTCCGACCATAGGAGCATTCACTGTCACTGCTATGCTCTAAATTAAAATGGTTGGAGAATACAAATTGGACAGAACGCAAATAAAAATCATTTGTTATGCAAAAATCATGAAATACCCTACAGCGAATGGAACAAACTTTTAAGACAGCGTTATAAAAATATCTATATCGGAGACGAGATTTTTAGTGGTGGCAAGGAAGCCAAATGATGAAAAATCTTATTACTACTGGGAGCGGAAATATTCAGCTACGGAAAAATTAAACAGAGAACAAGGAAAACAGTAAACAAAGCAACTTATATATGAGGATTTCTAAGAAATGCCATATGTACGAATAAGGATATGAGATAAGGTGGGAAAATACGTATATATAAACCATGTAAGACCAATAATGACCTGCGAGTAAAACAAAAGCATAGCAGAAATAAAAATATTTATAAACTCAGAAAACATTAAGAAGCAGAATATCAAATGACCAATCGTACGATAGAGAAGACGGGAACGAAACCAGCATGTTACACGCATGGATAGTAAGAGACTATCCCTAATAGCAAAAGAGAGCAAGGTAGCTGGCAGTCAAGGTTCAAGCCTTAAGAAGGGATAATAGATCTTAGTCATGATATTAAACGAAGAAGAAAAAAAGAAGACGAAGGAGAAAGACCACGTTTCGATTCCTTATGTTAGAACTGGCAATATGTACTGGTCAATTTTTGCCTTAGAGTAGTAGGTAAGTGGTAATTCAAATGCTGTCCAAGCTAAAGATCTTAGTCAAGTAAATTTTTTTTCTGTCAATTACCGGCCTTTTTGGTTTGTAGCGCCCTTGATTTTCTTGTTGAAGTTAAATAAATTATATTGTACTATCTCATTTCTTTACTTCTTACCTTTGGCGTCTCTTCTATCTCAGAACTTTTTTTAAGTACATTCTCAGTAAAATATACCTTGACGGTCAACATTTAGAGATGTTATAATCCAAAATATTGCACAATAAATAAAAAATATCTTTTAGTATTAGTTTTGGAGTAATTTAGTCACACTATAAATTTTTAATAAGAAACGGAATTATAAAAGATAAACTTACCCTATCATTTTCTCCCTCGAACATCTTAACTACCTCTTCGGACTGAGTCATATTGCACATACACTGCACGGCAGCTCTACATATGTATTCATGATCCTCAAACATATAGTGCTCGATCTTGGAGAATCCCCCTTCCTTTATAATCCTCATCCTAGCCGTTTCGCTTAATTGAGCGATGTTGCATAAGGCCATAAGTGCTTCGAAATTTTCTAAACCTGAACAGTCTTGGTGTAGCGAATTTAGGAGAGGTCGGATTACTTCTAAGGATCTCTGGCCCGGAAAAGCTATTTCTGGATTCATGGTAATACCGATCCTGTAAAAATATTTTTTGTTTATTTATGTATTAGTAACGTAATGCAGACCGAGAAGATGAAATATACGATAATCAGGTTCCAAGAAATTCTGACCAGGATTGCAAGAAAAGGATAAATACCGTCTACGGACTGTAGTTAGTAAAATATTTCAAGGACAGAAAAAAGAGTAAATGAATAGAGATAACCGAGTAGTACTAAAATTACACAGTTTTAAGTGAAGCTCGAAAATGAGCAAAAATACATCCTCTCTAGGACATCGCTTTTAGACGATACTTTTCTCCTGTGCCATGCATGCCATGGACACGATAGTTTTACAACTCGGGATTGGAAAGCGCAGCACAATGTGATGCATGTAGATGCAGGTATTCGGATATCTTCCACAATTCGGCATTTTGAGATATCGCAGAATGATTCTGCTTCGATAAAACAAGTAATAGCATCTTGTTTACCAATACAATCAGCAATCTCATTTATAGCTATTTCTTTATGTCCCGTCATCAGTAAAAAAGTACCTACTTGTGTTGTGCTTTGGCAATTTCTTACCAGACTTACCAGATTAGATTTTAAACTTTAGAGTCATTAGTAGGGCTTGGCTATCAGAAGCAAAATTTTGACCGAATCGAGGTGTTTTGCAAAAACTTTTGAGCGCAAAATCTATTGCTATTAATTCCGTTTAAAATCCTGTAGTAGTTCCGAAGCTATTGATAGTGTTCACACATCTAATATTCAGGTACAATATATATACATATATATATATATATATATATATATATATATATATATATATATATATATATATATATATATATATATATATATATATATATATATATATATATATATGAGTAAGAAAAAAGAAGTACTTGTGACTCGTTTGGAAAAAATATAAAACTGTTTTTGATGGGTTGGAGTCAATAAAAGGGGCTATTTGTTGACTATTTTTTACTCGAGCTTTCAATTGTGATTACAATTTTTATCAAGAGCTTCTAAAAAATACAAAATATCTTACAAAGTTGAACTAGAAATAAAAAATTTTTTGTTAACTCGAATCAAATCGCATTATTTCTCACAAGAGTGATTGTAGAATTAAGAAACCATCTTTTGCTTTGGCAGAGCATGTAATAGACAAAGACCATATTACGGATTTTGATAATATTAAAATTTTATGTAGTGAAAGTAATAAATTTAAAAGAACTTTTTTGGAAATAGTTTGTATTAGCAAAAGTGATAATAATTTAAACAAAAGGTCAGAAATTCAAAATCTAAGCAAAATTTATAATTATATTATTTCTATATAATTTATATATGCAGTCATTAAAATATCACATTTTGAATTTTCCATGTATTTGTTACATTTTTTCGGGCATCTATCAATGGTGAATAAATCTTCTTCTTTTTTGTTACTAAACAAAGAAGAATTTTTTAAACAAAATTTTATTTTTGACAATATGTCAAAAATAAAAATTTTTAAGTTAGTATTTATGACATTTAGGCTGGTTTGTAGCTATTCTATTTTTGTTTACAAATTCAATTGTTTTTGTTAAGAAACTTCATCAAAATTTTTCAGAGAAACATTTATTAGAATAAGACATTTTTTTATTAATATTTTTTGTAATTAATATGTAAGCAGTAGTTTTATATAAAAAACTAATTTTATTTGGTGAGTTAACAAAAAATTTTTTATTTCTAGTTCAACTTTGTAAGATATTTTGTATTTTTTAGAAGCTCTTGATAAAAATTGTAATCACAATTGAAAGCTCGAGTAAAAAATAGTCAACAAATAACCCCTTTTATTGACTCCAACCCATCAAAAACAGTTTTATATATACAGTGTGTCCACTTAAGTTCGCACCATATGGGAAACTTTCTTATTATTAGTTTTACGAAAAAAAGTTATTCTTTATAAAAAGTTCTGCATGGTGTAAAAACTAAAATACAACCATCAGATATTAAAATTTTTCAGTCGTATACGAGGTATGTTCAAAAATATGAATTTTACCAAGAGCAAAGTACCTCAATTTTTTATAATTTCGAAAATTGTTATCAAGAAAATTTATTTAAAATTGTAAACATATCTAACAAACATTTAACTCATTTGTTATCAAAAATTTGATAACCTTTTAGTTTCCCAACTTGACTGTTGCAGCATTTTGTTGATGTTTTAAAATAATTCGTACACATAACAACGTTATTTATTTTACAATCTAACATGAATAGCAATTATAACAATAAGTTGTTAAAAATATTTGCAAAAAATATTAAGTAATAGATTTTCTTAGATCAAACCGCCATTGCCTCAACGTACCCACCTTCTCTTTCAATACAAGTTTCCGTTCTACGACAAAATTCTCTTAACACATTTCGAATCATGTTGGGAGTTATAGTCTGAATGGTTTCCGTAATAACCCTTTCCAAATGTTGGACGTTTGTAAACGGCCCTTGTTTGTATACATTCTCTTTCAAGTAACCCCAAAAGAAATAATCTAACGGGGTTAAATCTGGCGACCTAGCTGGCCAAAAAGTCTCTGAATATCTGTGGATTACTCTTCCGTTAAACAAATGATCCAGATACTGCCTTACTTCCAATGTACTATGACATGTAGCGCCGTCCTGCTGGTACCATATTTGTTGCCGTTCATGTAGTGATAGGTCATCAATAAAATCACACACGTGAGTTTGTAAGAAATTTAGATAATTCTGAGAGGTCATGGATTGTCGAAAAAAAAATGGCCCAATTATTTTATCTTTGTAAATGCCACACCAAACATTTGTTTTAAATGAATATTGATCACGAGTCCTAATTGTGAAGTTAGGATTGTTGTCACTCCACCATCGACAATTTTGAGAACTCACCGTTCCATTTGAATTAAATGTAGCTTCGTCTGAAAACATTATTTTTCTAACAAAAAAAGGATCGTCTTCAATTTTTTCTTGAATAAGAAAACAAAATTCTATTCTCTTATCGTAGTCTCTAGGTTTCAATGTATGAATAAATTTAGGCTTATATGGTTTAAACTGATTTTCCTTCAAAATTTTTGCAATTGTACTTTTACCTGCATTTTGCAACAACAATGCCCTCTTTCGTAGAGAATATTTAGGATCTTGCACTGTAGATAACATTACATCTAATTTCGTCGCCTCATTTGCAACGCGTTTTTCACGTTTGTTGCTGAATTTATTTTTAACATCTCCGTATACTTTGAATTTTACCATAAGTCTCATAACTGTTGTATGTTGTATATTTCTTCCTGGATGTCTGTTATTAAATATTTCAGCTGCTTCCCGATACGTTTTATAATTATCACCCACAATTAGCACAATTTCTATTTTTTCTTCTAAATTCAATACCACCGGCATCTTTAATTAGAATTTATTGTAACTGTCAAATATGTATTTTACGTTTAATGTCAGATATGTAAATATCATGGCAACTTGATTAAAAATGTACTTATGCATTTATTACTGTTGTAGGGTAGACATGCAATAGCAAAATGTAGAAAATCTCCATTTTAAACATTTTGTATACATGGCTATATATTTGAACATGTTGTAGACTTCTAAATAAATTTTCTTGATAACAATTTTCGAAATTATAAAAAATTGAGGTACTTTGCTCTTGGTAAAATTCATATTTTTGAACATACCTCGTATACGACTGAAAAATTTTAATATCTGATGGTTGTATTTTAGTTTTTACACCATGCAGAACTTTTTATGAAGAATAACTTTTTTTCGTAAAACTAATATTAAGAAAGTTTCCCATATGGTGCGAACTTAAGTGGACACACTGTATATATATATATATATATATATATATATAATATATATATATATATATATATATATATATATATATATATATATATATATTCAGTGGTTGAATAGCAGAGGTTTTATCGGTCAATAATTGGCAAATATTGATTTATTCGAATACGTTTCGCTTTTATTTTTAAAAGCATAATCAGTTCACTACAAATAAAAAAGATTTTAAAATATAAGTAAACAACCAACAGGGTTCATACTTAAAAAAACAATTTGTAGGTTTTTTTTAGATGTTATAAAAACTCTACGATAACTTAACATTAAAACTTAACAACTAAACGAGAGAAACGAAACAAAAAACACAAGAAAAACTGTAAGAGCACTATTGTTCATTTAATTTTGACCGATGGCTTCATTTGAATGTTGGTTTAAGCTCTTTCGAGGGTCAAACCACACTAATCTCTTCGATTGTTTTCTATCAGTTGTAGGTTGTCATAATTTACACATGTGGCTTATGTCGTACATGTGTTTCTTTTGAAAGCAAGGAAGTATGATGATTAAGGGATCTTTCCTTTTTTTGGTTTGTTTGTTTTTTAAAGAAAAAAAAATTAATCCTTTTTTAAAAAAGGTCTGTCCCCGTTCCGTTCACTAAATCCCTTAATAGTCGTACTTCCCTGTTAACCTACAATGTAAATCATCTATAGGCGAACCAACTTATTGCCTTACATTCATCATATATATATATACATATATATATATATATATATATATATATATATATATATATATATATATATATATACGTCTTCATATCAAGGCGAGATCCGATTAAATCGAGGACAACCCGAGATCCACCAATAGGAAATTAATTAATGGAGTATATTGTTAATAACTATCTTTATAATTAACATATTAATCATGGCACACTTAGAGGGGAAAAGATTTTTGAACTTAAATTTTTTTGATAAATTTACAACAAAATGAGATCCGTAGCTGAAAAGAGAAGGGGAAGACTTATATACGAAATTTTAGATATTTACAGATCAACGCGAGATCAGACACTGTTGCCAGCTCTAAAGAGTATTAGTCGAGCGACCGGAGCTCGTGTTGTATTGCATATTTCCTACTCAAACAGTAAACTAATTTGCAGTTATAGTGTTTTGTATTTTAAAAATATTGCAAGGGCAGCGGTCAGTTGAAGTAGTGAAACAAAATTCAAAGATAACAGAAGCTAAGT